CGCCCGCTCGAGCTGGGTCCCCGGGGTCCCCGGGCGGGGCGGTGAGGCCGCGGCGCCTAGTGGAGCAGGTGCGGCTCTCTCCCTGCGTCCCCCGGCTCTCATTAGCGGGCAGCGCAGGCCACATCTGGGCTCCAGCAGCCCTCTCACGCAGGCCAAGCAGAAGGGAATCCTGGGGACACCAGCCTTGGGCGGGGTTCCGTCTGCAACATCGAGGGAACACAGTGGGCTGAGGGTTCACCTGCACGGGCACACAAGGATCCCTCAGCGCTTACTAATGGCCCCGGGGGTGGGCTGGTGTCTGCAGAGGCCCGGAACCCAAACAATTCCCAAGCCCCACAAGCCCCCCATGCCCCCTTGGGGAGAGAAGGACACTGAAGAAAACAAGCGGGGAGGCTTCTAGGTCTTAACACACACGGAGATCCGAGCATCAGTGGGATGGAGAGGGCGTCAGTTAAGACAGAGGACAGGGGGCCGGGCGTGGTGGCGCACGCCTGTGACCCCAGCACTCGGAAGACTGAGGCAGGAGAATCGCTGTGAGTTCGAGACCAGCCTGGGCTTCATAGTGAGTTCCAGGTCAGTCTCAACTACATAGTGCGACCCTGTCCCCAAAAAAAGGACAGGGGTCAGTAGTGCCTTTGGCTGGGGCTCTGACCAAAGGCCTGGGTCTGAGTAAAGGAGGTGGCCTCAGAGCAGCTTGAGCCTCCTTTCTTAGACACTCTTGCCCCATCCCCATGTCTGGGGCCACCCAGAGTCAGACAAACCCAGGGGTCAGACACACCTTGGCCAAAGAGTCCCTCTGAGCAGGAAGCCAGTACTGGCGCTGAGGCGCTGGGGCCCTTGAACCAGGACCCTTACCTGCCCAAAATCTTTCCGAAACAGGATCCTGCAAGGACGCCCAGGCCACGCTGGAGATCCACCCCGATGCCCTTTCCCTGCAGGGAATAGAAATGTTACAAATGACACTGACTCCACTCACCAGAGGGAAGCCAGCCCCCTGCGGCCAGCCTATGAGGGTGGGCACAGGTGACCTGGGACCTAAAAGTGATGTGACCTTGCCTAGGACAGGAGCCCCCTGCAGCTCCCAGCACATCCTGAACTTGGCCAGCACCAGGAATGAACTACAACAACAACAACGTGTGGAGACTTCTGGCCCAAGGCCAACCCCCCACCCCCGCCGCCTCTTGGTGCCCAGCACCCCAGAGTGGGAAACGGGGAGACATAGACCCATTCATACCTCATACCTGGGTCAGTGACCCTGTCCTGTGACTCCGAACGGCCTGGACACAGCTGGGGGGGGGGTCTGAGATGGCGGAGCTGGTGGAAGAGGGAGAGAAAGAGCCTGGAATGGGACCCTGAGCCAAGAGGCTGCTGGAGAATCTGGGTGCGAAAAGTTGAGACAAAAGCCCCCTCTCTCAGTCCTTGGGCACCCTGGCCAGGATCTGTCTGATCTCCAACTGGCCCACCAGGCCCTTTGCAATGGAGGGGACATGAGCCACTCCCTCCCCAGCCTCTGAGACCTCTGCAGGGACCCGTACCAGGAGATGGGGGATACCCGGTCAGCCAGTGTCACACACACTCCAGGCAACCTCGGAACAGGGCTGACACAACACTAGGCACTTGCAGAAATGCCCCACACACTCACTCAGCACCCGAGGTGTGGGGTACCCACCAGCGTTACACCAGCCTGTGGCCTGCGCAGGCCATTCCTGGCACCATGGATTCACAGGGACACACCTGGCATCAAACAGCCCCAACCACAGACCGCCCCGCACGTCCTTCAGGCCCCACACAATGCTGCCCTGGGCGCTCAAGCCTGTCGCCCACAAAGACCCCTTTGGAGCCCTCCCCCCCCGCGGGAGCCCCACTCCGGGGAATGAGCCCACACCTAGCCGGGTCCTGCCTTTGTATCCCGGTCATTCTCAGAGTGACCGGTCTCATGGCCGGCGGGGCCGCTGCCCGGAGGATTAAGGCGCCGCGGGGCGGGGCGTGGGGCGGGACAGTTCGGGCATTCGCGGGGCCA